TTCTTCAATCTCCTCAACCTTCAAGTTTCCTTCTCAAAAGCACAAGTTCCACCCTCCAAGGCTCACACATACTCAAGGAAGCACCAAAATGCAGCTAGGGTTTCTTTTTGGACTGGAATAGGTGTTACATTTTAAAGCATAAACTTAGCAGTTACCAATACCAATAGTCATTCTCATTCTAGCATGGCATCCAGTATCTCCAAGGCTACAAGCATCACATATCAGGCCAATCTATCGCTGACTACTCAGCATTAGCATGCCATTCTACCAGCTCATACAACATATAAAAGCATCTCTCCTACCCCTAACTAGCTTTCGATTCTCTGATTCATAAATAAAGTCATCACAAATAACATATACATGTATTCTGGGAAAACTTACTTGAGCTCGGCGGATTGTAAGCACCACAACCTTTTCTTATCTTAGCAAGTTTCTTTTCTCGAGAACATTTTTCTTTTGAAAATTTTACAGATCCTCAGTTTGATTTCAAACACACTGAAGAGTATGTCTAAATCCCTCAAACCAAGGCTCTGATACCAACTTGTAGCGACCCAAAACTTTAGGGTTAAAACTTCATTTTCATTATAATCAAAACACCGATACCATTTAATCCAAACATTCCAAACATTGCTAATTTAAAAACATTTATCAGAGTTCATCCCAAAATCTCATATTGCAGAAAACACGGGTGTGTGCACTACGATCCAACTGGGCCTTTCCTTTCCAAACCGATGATACCTGAAATCATAAACAAAATAATAAGCACGAATCTTAGTGATTTCCCCAGAGCATACCCCCACACAATCCACATAATTACATAATCCATATTAGCTATATAAGCTACATAACCACAAAAGCCATGCTTACAACGTATAGGGATGCAAGCTAAACATGGTCTTTACTACCATGACAGATCATGCAAGCTAAACATGCGAATATACTAGGAATCCATAGAAACCTTATGAGGTCTTACACTAATGCCATGGGAACCCCCACATGGTCTCAATCTACTACCATGGGACCCCCCCCCTCGGGGTCTTCCATGCAAGAGTCATACCAACATTATGCATAATCAATCAACAATCCACATATCATAAAATGTGCCGGCCTTGGTGCCTTAGACCTATTGGTATGATGAGAAGACTCACCTCGAATACAAAATTTTCCCGAGTGAAATCCTTAGTTGCTGCCCCGCCAGCTTCCTGAGCCGTCACTTCTAATCACTATACCCAATTGGCAACCCTCAATCTATACATGGGGTAAAATGACCATTCTACCCCTAGCCTAGTATGATCCAAAATTAAAACCCAAACCAAAAAATAATCCCAAAACTATAATGTCCATAATCCATCAATGGGCATAACTCGAGAAGACCCAATACCAAAAAGGCCTAAGATACTGAATGGTCAACCCTAGTAAACTCATGGTCAAAGTCAAAATCAACAGTTAAGGTCAACAGTCCATGTTGACCCAACTCGTCGAGTGCATCTAGCAACTCGACGAGTTCCTTCAGTTGTTCAGAAAACCGGGGAAAAACATAACCTACTTGCCGAGTTCACTCAGTATACCAAAAACGGGAAAACCTAATCCAACTTGTCGAGTTGCTAGGGAAACTTGTTGTGTTTTCCCCTGTCTTAACATATTGATCCCTTTCAGTCGAATCTAAAGCCCCAAACTACAGATCCAATCCCTTAGGACTGAAATATCAAGTAAAGTTGCTAACTTTACGTGCATGCAAGGCCTCAAGAGGCTAAAACACTAAAACTAAGTTAATAGAAGGTTTAGGGCATGGAGGATGGCCAAAGCTTGATAAAGCTTGGATCTTTAGGCCTAAGGAGGTGTAAGGTGTCCAAATTTTAATTCACAACTTCAAATCATGCTCAACTCCGAAAATGGTTCCAAAATGGGCTAAAAATGCACTAAACTTACATGAGAGAACATCTAAGAAACAATAAGTCAAGGCAGAGACTTTTTACCTCGAAATGCTTGCTAACACAAGGTAGATGTCAGATCTATAGCCCCCTCCTCACTTCAATCTCTTCAATCTTCAAGTTTCCTTCCAAAGAGCACACTATTCACTCTCTAAAGCTCTCTCTCTCTCTCTCTCACACACACACACACACACTAAAGAAGGCACTAAAGCACGACTAGGGTTTCTCTCTGGACATTAAGGATAACGAGGAAGGCCACAAATGAGCCATAAGTTCTTTAAATAGGGTACAAAACCCTGATAATTAGGGTTTTCCTTTACATCATCTACTCATTGAGTTGGGGCCTTGCAACTTGTCGAGCAGACACTAAGTCCCGCGTCCAATATCGATATCTACTCGTCGAGTCCCAGTGCAAAACCCTAAAAACTTGAAAAATAACTGATACCAGGAACAAGCGTTACACCTCTTTCTCTCTCTATATTCTTTAGCCTGAAAGAAAAATCAATCTCACCTAGAAATCGAATTTATTTATGGTTTCGGGGAGTCTTGATCTAAAGAAATCAATTTCAATTTTGGTTATGTGGATTAATTTTGATTCTGGTTACAAGGGTTTTAATTTATATGGTTTATGAATTTTGCTTTTCATTTAGGGTTCATGATTTTGCTTTTCATTTTGATTTCCGGTATCAATTTTCCAATGAGTGTAGCAATGGTTTGGATGGTGGCGGTGTTTTGCAGGGTTGCAATGGGGGGTTTTAAACAGGTTAAGTAATGGTGTTGCATGGTTGCGGTCATGGTTTCCGATTTTAGTTTTGTGTTTCATTTGATTTATGCAAAATTTAGCTTTGGTTATTCATTTTCTGATGAGGATTGTGATGGGTGTGCGGTGGTGCAAGTGATCGATGAGGTAGGTAGTGATGTTCTAGGTTGCTAGAAGAGAAATGGGAAAGGGACGGTCGGTCCTTTTTTTCTTTTGTAAAAAATGATAAATGAATAATGAAAAAAATAAAAAATAAATATATAAGGGTATTAGTGTCATTGTACTTCTTTTAAGGACTAAATCCGTAACAAAATAGAACCATAGAGATGGTCTGAGAGCAAAAAAAGGGCGTACATACCTGGATAGACTTTGGGCAGTTTTTTGGGCCTTGAGTCATTTTGGCTTTGGGCCTTGCTTTGTTGGGCCAACTATAGGAAGGGTAAAATAGTATTTTACCCATTGTAATGGGGAGATATGAATTGGAGCTAGAATTGCGGGAAACTGTCCTAATTATTGAATAAGCGTAATTTGGATGTGTTCAGTGTGAGGAACTCGGTATCAGTCTTTATGACTCTTGCATTTGTGTGATGGGTTGGGCCCAAGGGCATGCATGTAGGTTTGGGCCCAATTTCATGAGAGGGTTGGGCCCATTATTCTAGCATGGGCTACGCTCATTGTGTAACGGGCTAGGCCTATTTGTATGTTGGGTTGGGCCCAATGAGTAGGATGAGCTAGACCCATTATTATGGGTTCAACCCAATGTGCGAGCTAGGCCCATTGATATGTATGATATGTGGTATTTTGGGGGAACTCATTAAGCTTTGTGCTTACGGTTTATGTTTATAGTTTCAGGTACTTCCGGTTCGAAAGGGAAGGGTCCGATGTGACTGCACAACATTCCCTAGATTTTATTCCGCATTGCTAATTTTTACTCTCTTGATTAAATGTTATTTTTATCATGAATGGTTTTGAGAACAATTTGTTATATGAATTATTGTTTTAAAAATGAAAAATTTACCTTAGATTTTTGGGACGTTAAAGTTAAGGACAAAACACGTAATTTTAACTAAATCATAATGACGATTTTAGTAATTTACTCATTATTTTATCCAACACAATATACAACATAAGGGTAATATGGTCTTTTTTCATTATTCACCACAGTCACTGAAAGATATAATCAAACAACATAGTTTCAATGGGATATGTACTCAGTCAGAAGTTCTAACTTAGTCAACATTAAACTCAGTCAACAACAATCAAATAACCTTTTTGAGAATACAGAACAACGAAATATTGCCATCCAAACAACATCATTACCATTCATAGCTATCAAACAACCTTTTTGAGAATCACATATGTTTTCTATTTTAGATAGGATATCAACCTCTTGATAATACCTTACTCGAATTCCAAAATTTAACACACACGTACCTTACTTACCCTCCTATTCCACGATTCCACGACGGTATGTACATGACTCATGGAGTCGACTCATGGAGTCGACTCAGTGTAATAAACTATGAATCATCCACTCACGTCACATGATAAAACTAATATGCACCACAAAATAAAATTGATGTTCGCCACAACATAAAGTTGTTATTCAATGCCTCCGAGGATTCTTAACCAATAGTATTTCACATACCATCAACCATAGCTTCTGGTTATTACTACCTACTTACACAACAACTAACACTCGTCAAGGGTAGACTACGATTACTCTCATCATCTATCGACTCTTGGGATACGATAATGAATAGCGATCCTGACAATTTCTAACCGACACCTTCGCTTTTAATCGTCCTTATAACATCGTTCTTGTAAATCAACATTACCACAATACCCTTGATAGATAAAAAGTGGGCAATTGAACTGCACTCGAGGTAGACACAATGACATTATTGTGTCCAAAGTAAACATCTAGTACGTCTAAGTGGTTGTTATACAATCTTAGTTGTGTTAATATATAATGACTTTAAGATACACTTGTTACTTTGATGAATGTTTATTTAGATTCTAATTTATATTTATTTACCGAAATTTATAGTTACTATTCTTATCCAATCCACGATGTTACATTAAGAGAGGTGATCATATACTAAAATATTAGATGGGAAAGCGTAGAAATCGTAATTATATACATATGGAGCTTAAGGTGACAATAAAACATCAAACCAAGGTGAGTTGCATGTTCGATTTTGCAGAATCTATGATATACATGAATGCTAAATGTTCAAGGTCTGCATAGTATCGTATCATGAACCGTTTAACATCCAAGTTCTATTAAATCGGTAAGAGGATTAAACTTTAAAACAAAAAAGCTATCTACTGCAGTATGATGAGAAAATTGGGATTTCATTACCAATACATTCATACATAATAAGATTAAAGAAGGCACTCGATGTGTTATCTATAATAAGATCAAAGAAGACTCGTCATATGTTATGAACCACAATACAACATTCTGAAAAACTTTCCCTTCCATTTATTCTCCCATCCGAATTATACATCGAAGACCTTCACCTTTAAGCATCAAATCAAAAGCCTTATTGATCTCAGAAAAAGGCACTTCATGTGTTATGAACTTCTCCAACTCAAGTTCCTGCACAAAATCATATCAACCAAACACTAGTTAGATTTCAATTCATCATTCTATTATAATTCAACTTTGAAGCTATAAAACGGGTTACCTTATTCATATACTTTTCAACCACAGAAGGAATATCTGATCGAGGTTTATAGTTTCCAAAAAAGGTTCCCTTCAGAGTCCTTTCGTTCAACAGATTCAATGGACTTGTCTTGAAAACAGCATCTTTATGTGGAACACCCACAAGAACAGCAACACCCCAACCCTGTAAAATTTTCAATGTTTGTTATTGTGTAATTAAACATGAATCATTAATTCATTATATGAGTGAGAGATGAATTGATTAAATTCATACATCATGAACACATTCGAAGGCAGATATCATAGCATCAATATGACCCGTGCATTCAACACTCCTGTCAACTCCTCCATTTGTCATCTCTGCAATCACTTCTTGTACTGGTTTCGTGTGATCTTTTGGGTTCACAAACTCTGTCACCCCAAATTTCTTTGCTGTTGAAGCCAAAAAAATTTACATTAGATTCATCAATCATATCATATGTCTAGTTTTTATTTACAATTTCATGCAGCAAAATCTTACCAAGCTCAAATCTGTTGGCATTGAGATCAACTCCAATGATCCTTGAAGCCCCTGAAATTCTTGCACCTTCAGCAGCCTGATCACAAACAAGAATCATTAGCTTTTTATTTTTTGGCCATGAATGAGCCTTTTTTGAGAAAGTTAAAAGTTCCATAAAACTCACAGCAAGCCCCACAGCTCCTAATCCAAAAATGGCGACTGATGAGCCTTTTTTAGGTTTTGCAACGTTAAGAGTAGCACCAAGACCTGAAGACACGAAGATTATTTAGGTTAAGAAAATACCCATTAGAATTGTAATCGGAGAATGTTGATTATAATTTGTTTTTCTACCTGTTGAGATCCCACAACTGAGGACACAGACTTTGTCAAGAGGAGCAAGAGGGTTGATTTTGGCAAGACAGCCGACATGAACGACTGTGTATTCACTGAAAGTTGAAGTTCCGACGAAATGGAAAATGGGTTTTCCGTTTATGGAAAATCGAGATTTTTGATCGTGAATCATGACTCCTCTATCGGTGTTGATTCTCAAAAGGTCACACATGTTGCTCTCTTCCGACTTACAGTGAGCACATTCTTTGCATTCTCCGGTGAAAACAGGGAGAACATGATCTCCGGGCTGAAGATCAGTCACTCCTTCCCCAACACTCTCCACGACCCTGTTCACGTCACTTAAATTGATCAGATTTTTTATCCGATTACAAACCCTTTTCTATTTAATACAAGAATAAAACTTACCCTCCAGCTTCATGTCCTAAAATTCGGGGAAACACGGGATTCTGACCCTGAAAAGTTCATAGGAAGGAAACGAAGATTCAGGATTTGAGTTTTTGACAGAGATTTAAGTAAAAGGGCCAGTAGATTGGTTACCTTGGCTTCCCAAAAGTAAACATCGGTGTGGCACAGGGAGGTGAACAGGATTTTGATTCGAACTTCCATTTTTTCGGGTGGCGCCACCTCCACTTCTTCAATCACTAGTGGCTTTCCGGCTTCCCATGCTACCGCCGCTGTCACATTTACACTCATCATCAAGCACCGTACCAAACTTTTTCTTCTTGATAGGGAAATCACAAAAGAAAAATGAAATGCTTACCTTTGCATCGAATCACCTGGTTAGTGCTCGACATTTAATCTTCTTGTTATCTGATCGCTGAAACAGAGAATTAAGTTTGCTAATTGCTTGATATGAAGGAATAATCTGAAAATTTGTGTATTTATAGGTCGAGGGAGTGAATATACCAAAACTGTAAACCGACCACCAGGTTTTGATTTGCCGGGTTTCCATCGATCAAGACGTTGACAAGTTAAAACCACCGTTTAACGAAAACAAGAAACCATAAAGCGCCACTGATGCGTGGTTTTCTTCTAAACAATACATAAATTGGGTCCACAGATATGTCTAAAAGTCAAAAAGACCCCAACAAAAGGAGGTTAAAACTTTGGCAAATTACACCCTGAGGTTTTGGATAATTTGTTTGTTTGATCTTAATTTTTTTAACTCGTACTTATTATTCAGTTTTTCTTTAAGTTTATACCTAACATATCTTAATATATTTACTTTTTACAATTTTATTAATATTTTTAGTTACTACTTCAATTATCAAAACAACAACCTTATCTAACATCATCATCTCATCTTTCTTATTCAATGACCTAACCACCACCACAGTGTTGTCATCACCAGCTACTACTAACAACCACGGGTCACCACTTGCATCAAATCAAAATCAATCATGAAATCAAACAAATCAAAACCAAAACCTAAACTCAAAGCTAAAAACCCAATCAAAATAAAATAAAAATCTCAATGACTCGCCGAGTCGGCTATTTAACACGCGACCAAGTCGCGACTCTACTCACCGAGTCCATCCATGGACTCGACGAGTCACTCCTTCCCAAATTACACTTTTAGCCCTTCCACACAACTCTTGCTATTTCGGGATGTTACAATATATATATATATATATATATATATATATATATATATATATATATATATATATATATATATATATATATATATATGAGACGGATTATAAGTGGAGGGAATCGATAATGATCCATACCCAACCCATTTAATAAAAGGGTAAATGGGTATGGGTTGTAAACCGATAAACGAATCAAAAATTACAATCAAAACCCGTAAAGTTCTTATAGGTTTGGAGCGAATCAGGGTTAAAACCCGCTCCATGGACAGGTCTACCAAAAAGTTAAGAGGTAGAATAAAATGAAAACGAGTCGAATGAGAGAAATGGTCATGGAATGAAGGTTTGAATTAGAAGATATATGTTTCAATACTCATATTGAACCTGATCTTAGTAGAATTATTGATAAATCCAATGCAATGATTGATTATGGTAAGTGGTATATAATTTTGGTGGATCCTAGTGAACTTTTGGCGAGCATTGAAGGACATATTGGTAAAGTAAAGGTTGAAGCTGTGAGTCAAAAGGAAATCATGGACAAAATAGAAGGGTGCCTTTCTGCTTGTGAAGAGGAAAATTAGAATGAAAATTATAATCTAGTAATGGTCCTTGCCTTTTTATATTGTTATATGAGTTTTAAGTATAAAATTTGAAAAATAAAACAACATATGAATTTTTATGACGTTCTAGCTTTATTAAAACAAAACCCATATGTAAGATTTTTATTATGTTTTTGTATTTTGTATGATAATTTATATTTGGATTTTGTAAGATAAATTGTATTTGAGATTTAAATGATGTATGTTTAATTTGGATTTCGTATGATAATTTGTATTTGGAATTTAAATGATGCATGTTTAGTTTATATTTTATATGAGAGTTTGTATTTTTATTATTCTTTTAGAGTAAATTCCTTATGGTTTCTAGTTAGAATTATGCGTTTCGTTCCTAACTTTGTTCTTTGCACTCATACAATCCTTTTGGTTTGGTTTTATTATGTTTTTCACCCCTGATAGATATAAAATGACCTTATTGCCATTATATATATATATATATATATATATATATATATATATATATATATATATATATTTTTTTAGAATTGTTTTCATTACATTTTAACTATTTATAAGTTATAGAAAAAGTAAAAAAGGGGTATATCCCACCCCCACCCTATACTGCTATACATACATCTTCTTCGTCTCTTCCCTTGTTTGATTTTATTCTCATCGGAGCTCCACCACCAAAAAAAAATATGTTGCCTATCCGATAGCCCATCACTACCCCTTTGCCACCCATAATATGGGCATCCATTTTTCTCATGAAATACACTTCTCTGCAGATCGCCACCATTACCATTGACTACCCACGGATGCTCAAATCTGCAAACAAATGTAGGATTTTTCGTCTCATACTGGAATATGATATGTCTCCTGTTGAAATCGATTCAATCCACAACTGTGGTTGCTTCACCCATAAATACAAACCCTCTTGTAACGACCTAAAAATTTAGGGTAAAAGTTTCATTTTCATTTTAATCAAAACACCGATACCATTTAACCCAAACATTTCTACTTTAAAAATATTTATCAGAGTTCATCCCAAAATCTCACATTGTGGAAAACACATGTGTGTGCGCTACGATCCAAGCGGGCCCTTCCTTTCCAAAATGATGATACCTGAAATCATAAACAAAATTGTAAACACGAAGCTTAGTGAGTTCTCCAGAGCATACCTCACACAATCCACATAATCACATAATCCATATTAGCTATATAAGCTACATAACCATATAAGCTATGCTTACAACATATAGGGATGCCATGGAAGCACTCCAAGGTCTTACACCTAGTGTTACTGGAATCGCCATGTTGTCTTAATTACCTTCCATGGGAACCCCCACATGGTCTTCCTGCCATGGGAACCACCACATGGTCTTTATTACCAAGAAATTTCATGCAAGCTAAACATGCAAATATACTAGCATGCCATGGAAACCTTCTGAAGTCTTACACCAATGCCATGGGAACCCCCCACATGGTCTCAATCTACTACCACGGGAACCCCTGGGGTCTTCCATGCAAGAGTCATACCAACATGATGCATAATCAATTAACAATCCATGTATCATAAAATGTGTCGGTCTTGGTGCCTTAGATCCATTGGTATGCTGAGAAGACTCACCTCGAATGCAGAATCTTCCCGAGTGAAATCTTTAGTTGTTGCCCCGCCAGCTTCCCGAGCCGCCACTTCTAATCAATATACACAATTAGCAATTGGGTTCCATACTATAACCCTCAATCTATACATGGGGTAAAATAACCATTCTACCCCTGGCCCAATATGATCCAAAATTAAGGCCCAAACCCAAACAAAAACCTAACACTATAAGGTCAATAATCCATCAATGGGCCTAACTCGAGAAGTCCCAATACCAAAAAGGCCTAAGATGCTGAATGGTCAACCCTAGTCAACTTGTGGTCAAAGTCAACAGTCAACAATCAAGGTCAACAGTCCATGTTGACCCAACTTGTCGAGTGCATCTAGAAACTCATCGAGTTCCTTCAGTTGTTCAGAAAACCTGGGAAAAACATAACCAAATCGTCGAGTTATCTTACCAACTCGTCGAGTTCACTCGGTATACCGAAAACGGAATACCCAATCCAATTCGTCGAGTTGCCAGGGAAACTCGTCGAGTTTTCCCCCTGTGTTGACATATTGATCCCTTTCAGTCGAATCTAAAGCCCCAAACTACATATCCAGTCCCTTAGGACCGAAATATCACGTAAAGTTGCTAACTTTACGTGCATGTAAGGCCTCAAGAGGCTAAAACACTAAAACTAAGCTTAATAGAAGGTTTAGGGCATGAAGGATGGCCAAATCTTGATAAAGCTTGAATCTTTGGGCCCAAGGAGGTCTAAGGTGTCTAGATCAGAAGTCACAACTTCAAATCATGCTCGACTCCGAAAATGGTTCCAAATTAGGCTAAAAATGCACTAAACTTACATGGGAGAAGATCTAAGAAACAATAAGTTAAGGTAAAGACTTTTTACCCCCCTCGAAATGGTTGCTAACACAGGGTAAATGTCGGATCTATATCCCCCTCCTCACTTAAATCTCTTCAATCTTCAAGTTTCCTTCCAAAGAGCACAAGATTCAGTTTCCAAAGCTCACACACACACACACACACACTCAAAAAGGCACTAAATCACAACTAGGGTTTTTCTTTGGACAGTAAGGATGATGAAGGAGGCCACAAATGATCCATATGTTCTTTTAAAGGGTAAAAAACCCTAAAAATTAGGGTTTTCCTTTACAACATCTACTCGTCGATTTGGGGCCTTCCAACTCGTCGAGTAGACACTAAGTCTCGCATCTAATATCTATCTCTACTTGTCGAGTTGGGCTCCTCAACTCATCAAGTCCCAGTGCAAAACCATAAATATTTGAAAAATAACTGATATCAGGAACAAGCGTTACAAATCTCCCCCAATTGCACTAAACTTCGTCCCCGGAGTCTGCTGATGCAAAGGTCTGGATAATGCTTCCTCATCTCATACTCCCGCTGTTGCTCACGCGCCATGCCCACGACTTCCATTACCTATTACAACCCGACTGATGTTTCCCACTGCACCTTCACTAATCTTACTACCTTACTACCTCATGGCCTGTATTTTCTGTTCGATAACTAACACTAACTTCCTCCTATGACCCGGACGCTCCTTTTCCTAAATATCGAACACAACTGAGTTGTTGTCCAAACACTTCTGTGGCTGAAACATAGTAGTCAATTGAAGGGTTTTGAGCATCTTAACACTCCTAAGGTGTACATGCAACCCTAGAAACCTTGGTTCTATGTTTGACTAAGATACATGCAAATTTGATTTTCCAAGGTTCTTAACCTGTCTAGCATAGCATGAAGAACTTTTAAACATAAATGCTAGAAGAAGAACATACCTTTTGTTGTTTGGATTCCTTGAGAACCTTATAAGCCTAGCACCTCAAGTGTGATGCCTGAAATGTCTCACACAGTACCACAACACTTGGAATAACCTTGAGAGAAGTTCACTAACACCTCAAAATCGGCTAACCCTCTTTTTCTTGTACAAGTAGTACCAATTTTCTAGTCTAGGGGTCTTTATATAGTTGTGGTACAAGTAGGGTTACACCATGTAAACCCTAATTGTCATGGTTTTCCATTTTCCATGATCCATGGGTTTGTAACCTCCATGGACTATTCATGGAGCACCTTATGCGTTTTAACCCAATCCATACAAACCATGGATCATTAGCCCACTATACAAGAATAGATGATTTACACAATCAACCCTATATCTTTAATTAGTCTCTTTTTGATCACTTAATTAATTCCAAATTAATTCTTTGATCAATACAAATTAAATA